AATTGTCGTTATACCTGTCAAGGTGTTTTGGTCCCCTAGGTGTACCACAGCCAATTTTAGGAGCCGTTACTAGGCAACTACCAGTGAAGACATTGCGGGCTGGAAAAGAATTAGCGTGCGCTCTAATGAACTGCAAAGTGGATAAATTAGGGATGCCGATATAATTAAGTGTAATTACGAATTGCGTGTTAAAGTGGCCAATAAATCAGATATCCAATGCAAAAACCCTTCGAGAGTCATTCCTTCTCGTGACAGTATAAGTGGAGCTGTCTCCTCACAGCCACATGACTGAAAAATGCCACAAGATCTTATAGAAAATGGAGACATGTGCACCCACTGACCGAACATTATTTCACCAAGTACTATGTTCTCTTTCCGTCAGCCTTACGCCGAAGGCTGTGGCATTAAAACTAATGGAAAGCAGTTCTGTGCTGTCTGTCTATGGCTCTATAGACCTTGTGGACCTTTGTCGCTTTTGAGTTTCTTTATCTATACACAGTCGGCTGGACGCCTAGGACGGAGGATCAGCCCGTAGCACGACCGCTACCTGCGCACAGAACACAAACATAGAAAAAAAGCACACAGACATCCATGCCTCGAGTGGGATTCGAACTCATGATCCCAGTGTTCCAGTGAGCGAAAACATTTCATACCTCAGACTGCGCGGTACCGTGATCAGCAAAGCAGTTTTCAACGGAAACGGTAAAGCTATCCCTATAACAGGACATGGAGGTCCATAGGCTTGTGAGACGTCGAGGTTCCCACATTTTCTACAGTCGGCTCACAGATGGCCGTGATGTTGTCAGCCTTACGCGCCGGCCGCCCTTTACCCCCAGGAACATTCGCGGTACTCATTTTTGTTAGATGCTGAGTCGACCCCAAGGCCATAGTGCGGCTGGAAGGATAAGGTAAATTTGAAAAATCCAATGAACACATTGGGAATCGAAACGGCGACTTTCCGAAATGTAGCATAGTGCCTCAACCAACTACGCTACCGCGTGGCCCTTATCATTCGACAGACGGTGGCTATATGCCTTTAGGTATAAAGTGAACGCAGTGTAGGGAGGTTGACGTTGAAGCTTGTGGAACGAGTTTCCTTTAATTCCATATTCCTGCACCACGCGATTGTTTTGATGGCTGCAATATGTCTCATGCAGAGAAAGTAGTCGAAAAGCAGAAGTGCTGACACTTTTGTGATGTATTAAGTAAACTTCATACAAGCTGCTGCTCAAGCCTGGCCATTGTTATGACGAGCTTTGTTTCGTGCTACGAGAAACAGAACTCAGAATGAATTTCAGAAGATAATTTTAACACACGTGACTCCATAATATAAAAAGTTAAACCCGAAACCGAAAGAAATACAAAAGAAAAATAGGTTTTGGTTCTGTACACTTTAGTGACACTATTATCGGTTAAGTGTAGCCGGAAGAGCTCGGTTGGTATAGAGATTACGCTATGCGCTCTAGTACCAAAGATCCAGGGTTCTATTCAAGGTCGACGCACAAAATCATTTCTTTTCCATAACCGCAGCTTCCTATGCAATGGATACCGGGGCCCTGTCCCCGAGGGAGAAGAGGGTCGAAATGTGAAACTGTCCACTAATTTCCATCTAATTTCAAGGCTATGAACAGGTGGCGACCTAAACATGAACAGATTCTCGGAAAATCACCTAAAGGATCGTGCGTGACCATGGAGTATAACACACTGACATAGGAGACAAATCGTAATACACTGGCGATTCCCCCTGAAGAAAGAGGCGCACTCTGCACTAGTACCCTTCCCGCTTGACATAAATTTACTGTATCTCATTTAATATAAAACACTTTATCCCAGTTCGTAGGCAACCTAATTTATTCTGCAGCGGCCAGTTCAGGATTAAGTTAGTTTCTTAGGGTGGAGTTTGTTTGAGTCAACTTGGTCCGTCGGCCACTAATTGGGCTCCCTTAATAATGAATGTGGAGCAGTCGGTGGAATGAGAATTGGCTGGGGAAGTCGACGTACTCGGAGAAAATCTCCCCCAGTGCCACTCTGTCCACCACAAATCCCACATGACATCACCTGAGCTCGAACCCGGGCCGCCACGGTGGGAAGCCGGCGACTAACCGCCTGAGCTATGGCACGGCACAGGATTCAGTTAACCTAAGCTCGTAATTCAAACAACTGGCGGCAGTGCACATCGTGATATCAGTACCGCATTTCCGTGCATCAATATGCGTCATAAAATGATGAGTGGTTGGAAGCTGTCTTGTCTGGTAGAAGGGAGTGCATCCATATCTATTGGAAGAGACAAGCTAAACACAACGCGCACATCAACAGGGTCAGGCAGAGTCTACTGACACAAACCAAATCTTATATAGTTGAACTGTAAGATTAACAACCTAATAATGACTATGAAATACAGTAGGTTCAGTGGGACATGAGCTCTGGCCTTGAGATGTACAGTCGCTTTGCCGCCCGAGTAAGGAGAGCTCAGTGTCTCGAGCGCTGTGACTAGCGTCACGTTCGTTGAGTTGTCTCAAGATCACTGGCCTGTCATTTTCGCGCATGTCAGAGCTCATGTCATACAGAACAACGTATACACATAGGGCCTAAAACACTTCTGACGTGGCACATCGTGAGATAGTGACAGAAAAGTTGGGAACCAAATTCCGAACACCGGAGTTTTTGTATACAGGGGATTTTTCTTCCATAAGGCTGCCTACTCTAGGCGTGACGTACCCTCCGAGATGTTTCAGACAGGCAATAGTAGAAACAAAAAGTTCAATGCCTCTGATACCAAAAGTTTACCAGCCTATCCACCGTCCTGCCTAACAGAATATTTAAAATCAATCTGTAATCTTCCCTCCTCTATTTCGTACTGCAGCTATGAAGAATACTGTGTTTTCCTCTATAAGTCCACCGATGTTTCGGAGGAACATTCTACCTCCATTTTCGGGGTCGAAGACCCTGTAATCAGAGCTGTGATTTTCGCTTGTTTTTCCTGCTTACTTGCATAACTTATTCATTGACACTGAAAATCGATGCAGTACTTTTCTCCGAAACCTCGGTTTATTTCTACCGGACTACACGGTGTTACATGCTCAAGCGGTTAATCGATTGCTTCTCACCGCGGCGGCCTGGGTTCGATCCAGGTTCTGGTTAAGTGGGATTTGTGGTGGACAAAGGGAAGGTTTTATCAGAGTACTTCGGTTTCCCCTGCCAATCTTCATTCCACAAACTGCTTCACAATCACCCTCACCTATCATCTGGGGCTGGTCCAATAGGCCAGAAGTGGTCGCAGTACAAGGGACTTAGTCCCACCCCACTAGCATTAAAAAAAATTACATTAAAAAAATTCTTTATTTATAACGTGTTTCCATGCCTTAAATTTAGAGGCACGCAATTACCGAAATTACTCTATTAGACTTACAGCCTTTGGTGATCATACAGCACAAGGGAAACGGTAAGTATTTATTCTGAACTATGGCAAGTTTTTACAGAATGCGTTATTTTCGTATTTCCATCACGAACCTGCACTCCAAAAGCCATATTTAATCGCAGGGTTTTGAAACACTTCAGAACTGTTCATCGCATTTGCATACATTATGACTGCATCATATTTCCACTGTGAGAAATGTTTCTATATTAAGATTATCGAAGCCTACGAAATAAATTTTATAAGATTCCAGTTCAATTATAATAAATGCAAGACCAAACTACTCGTATCTCATGTAACCGGCACTGATTATTCAGTGCTGTACAAAGCCAGCTAAAGAAATACCTTAAACTTGTACGTCAACTTTTTAATTACAGCAACCAACATCGAGATTCAATTACTCCCTTTTCATATTTAAAACAATAACTTAAATTGTCGATATCACGTAAATGTATTTCTGTGTCTAGTTAATTAAGAAAAACGTAGGGGAAATGGAGGTGTAGCTCCACCATTATTGATCTCAGCACTAGAGGGAGTTAAGTGGTCAGCGTCACGCTTCTTCCGCTTTAACTCCGAGAAAAATTCCCCCAGTGGCAATCTGATAGGAGACTGAGCTCCGAAGTCGAATTTTCCAGAGGGGAACAGAACTTCGGCTCGTAACCCCACTACCTCGTGGCCTTGGAGACACTCCTACTGACAGTTCTTGGTTAACAGGTAACGCTTATTGGCCCAGCTAATTATCACACGAAGATCCTCAAAATAGCAGACCACACGAAATTGTTCTGAAGTGATTCTTAAAAGATTTATATTTCAGCTAGGGAATGGCTTTTCTTTATGAAAGAGAGGATATGATACATGTTCTTAAAACTCAATTTTGATCTCACATATCATAATCAGGTACGAAAACTTGACAACACTCGACATACTACAAATATTGCATTACACAGAAACCGTCTTGTAAAGGGATCGTCATGAATCCTGAACGAATCACTCGGCATAGTGACAGGAGGAAAACACCGAACAGTTCTGTCTTGCGTTTAATTCTTTGCACAAAACCTAACTACAGGAAATGTATGTAGCTGAGGCACAGACATCTGAAGCCATATATTGTAAAATTAAGCATAACAATTGAAATAAATATTATTCATCTTTGCCATATAATTTAATATATACCTGAGGAAGACATAAACACTAAATACGTTTTTTTTTTTAAGGTAACGATAGCACGAATTAAAAAAAAAACAGATTCTAAAGGTTTGACTGTACAGGGTAAAACATGTTTAATTATATTAGTCTGTACTTACAAAGATTCCATTTAAAGCAGTCCTCAGACTTGTACTCAATGATCATTAGAGCGGGTATTCTGAACTTTTGTCGGTAAAATCAATAGGAAAAGTGATTACAAATATTTGTTATCAGTGCCTGAATTCAAGACACGTTTAACATGAAACTACAAAAGAGAAAATTTGAGGAACACTGCACAAGATAAGATCACCTAAACTCTTTGTATCTCTGAACTGCAGGGTAGAACACACACATACAAATAAAATTAACCATTACACAAGCAACACTACTTAAACCGAACCTTCACACGGAGCCTGACAAACACTATCACTCGTGTTTTGGACTAGGTCATGCTCGGTGCAGCCACTAGTGATGCTGGTGGTAGTAACAGCAAGGGGCGACTGGCGTAAGGGGGGTGTGGTAGGTGTTTAGCTGGACTGATCGAAGCGGAACCCGTGGCAGTCCTCGCAGACTCGTTGCGCCCTGGCAGTTGGTTCACTTGCAACTGGCGTCTGGAACCTGCTTGGGCTGGCCGACATCGTGCGCCGTGGACTAGCTCTCCCTCCATCACCCCTCCCACAACCTCTTCGTGCCAGCAGAACCCCAAAACTGCAGCTCTCTCTAGTGCACTCCGGTTGCAGTAGACTGAGAAAACAAGATGGCCTGACGTCATGTTTTGTTGCCGAGATCAAATATCGGATACGTCCTATATTTTCGGCTTGATGCATATAGATGGACGTGTACGGGCCCATCCGGGTCCTGCTCATATGTAAGAAATTACATGTCCCCTCTTCAAGTAACCGTCATCACGTTTGCTATTGCTAAACCATGAAGGTAAAAAGATAAAGCTATCACTATAATAGACTGGAGGCCCGTAGGGTGGTGAGATGTCGAAGCAAATCGGCTCACAGACGGCGGTTGGATCATTTCTAAACCATAATTAAGTACTTTTTTTTTAGAGTAGGGTGAGTCCACTTGGTACGTCGGCCACTAATATGCCTGTTGTACCAGACTCGGATGATGAGTATGGGGCTCGGTGGAATGAGAAATACTCGAAAACCTGCCCCAGTGTCACTTTATCAACCAAGAATCCCGCATGACCTGACTTGAGCTCAAACTCAGGCCGCCGAGGTGGGAAGTCGGCGACTAACCGCCTGAGCTACTGCACAGCCAACCATAACTAAGTAAATAACTTCATGGAGCTGAGCCCTTCTTGAGAAGTCGCAAATTGTGCAGCTACTCAAGAACTTCCCAGAATTTTATGGAAACAGGAGTTTCATTGCCGTGTTCACAAAAGCCCTCCACCGGTGGAATGTAAATGGAAACTTTCATGGCCTAATTTTAGCCAGTATCCCAGAATTTGTCCTGTGGGTCTCAGGAGATAAGGATAACCCCTAATCTGAACAGTCATTTTCAGGCAGAGATTAGAAAGGAGCATGTAAGATAATGGAAGTCCTTACCATGTGAGACAGTTTGCTGGGTCACACAATATAAACTGTAAGGGCCGCGCAAAGTGACACGTAATACCGAGACCAGTATTTAACGATATCCGAGGGTTGTCTCTATATCCAGACATTATGCAGTAACATCGTCATCTTTCTTCGTTCCTTCTTCTCGTGTTTTCATATCTTATTTCCTTTAGCCTCGTTTGTGTGGCGGTAAAGTCTTGCAGAGGTGTTCTCATCTCGCTTCATCAGGACACGTGACAAGATTACGTAACTGTGGTTCAGTATGTCTCTGTTTCTTGATACATATTGTCACGTTATAGAGTGAGACTATAGATTGGTTTTGGATTGATGACGGGATTAATTGGACTCTTCAATAAAGCGTGTGATTACAATTTACAGTTCGTAGTTACACACGAAGAAATGACCACAGTTAAGTCTTCACTGCCGTTGTTTGGCAGCGGCTTCCAACGGCGGATGTTCACCTTCCTCTGGGTTCTGGAACTGACCCCGTGCCTGAGCTACCAGCTTCTAACAGCAATAGCGCACAAGGACTGAACCCCAGTAGTCCTCTAAATGAGCGAGAGTCAGAGATACTTCACGACTGACGGTTACCACCAAACCCCTTGAGGCTCACAACCGAGATTGTTCTTGTTGCAACTTAACCCTTGCGGTCATAGTCCTTATGTAACAACTCTCCATTCCTCTCTATCCTGTGCTGCTCTCTTCCAGTTCCTTATGCCCATTAACTTCTTGGCATCTTCTTCCACCGCATAAATCCACCTAGTTCTTGGTTTCCCAGCACGTCTCCTGCCGCCTGTTGTGCTGTATAATATTTTCTTTGGGATACGCTCCTTAACCATTCTCTGTACATGCCCAGCCAATTGCAATCTGTTAAGCTTTATCGTCACTGAGATCTCTGGCTCCTTATATAATTTGTATAACTCTTTATTACAAGTATGTCTTATTCTCCATATCCCATTCTCTTTTATTGGTCCATAAATTCGCCTTAGGATTATCCTCTCGAAAGCACTGATGACTGATTCCTCTTTCTTGTTTAGCGTCCAACCCTCACATCCATAATAAAGCACCGGTCTTATCATTGTTTTATATAATTTTGTTTTAATCGCTCGGTGTATATCCTTTGATCTAAAAACTGATAGTAACGAGAAATATGCATTATTCGCTAGTTTTATTCTTCTTGTTATTTCATGATTCTCCTCTCCATCTTTATGAAATTTCGACTTCGACTTTCGTCAAATGTACGTATCGTACATATACCGTATTTACGCATGTATAGGCCGCACATTTTTTGCCAGAAATTCAAGAGGAAAACTGGGGTGCGGCTTATATTCGAAATATTCGAAATCACACTTCATTTTAAAAAAATTATATTCATAATTAGTAATACAGGGTGTTCTACTCCTGAAATAATATTCCAAGAAAATTATTTTTTCTATAATTTGTCTGAAAATTGTGCTGCGGCCTATACACGCACGCGGCCTATACATGGGTAAATACGGTAGCTTGTTATTGAAAATTCTTCCTTTTGCACTATATACAAGTCGTCTGTCGGTACAGGCTTTGCAAAGCAGATCATGCCTACCTTACATATCCGGTTCTACAACTGCACTGCTGTCATTCTGAATTTTCTAAAGATTTTATTCACTTTAATAAATGCATAGCCCTCTTTATAATGCGCCCCAAATTAACTGCCCCTCTGATACTCTGTTTACTCGGTAGATAAGGGCTTATGTTCTGTTTAACAGGTTGATCGTAAGAGAGACACAAGATAGAGCGTATAAAAACATACGCAAAAGCTGAGTTGTCTTGAGCTTCACAAAAGTAGCATGTTTCTACAGCGTCTGCCAGACAGCGCGAAATAGCATATTCCCATGTTTTAACGGGTATCGAGTTCGATTTCGGGCACTACCTGCTTTTCTGAGAAGTATTTGGTCTCGAACGGGGTCCACTCAGTCTCATGAGGATAAGTGAGGAGCTGTTTCAAGGAACAGCGGCTCCGGTCTAGAAAACCGAGAATAACGGCCGTGGAGATCCGTTGCGCTGACTACGGGACACCCTCAATATGAAAAAGTTGGCACTAACTTCGCCGACAAGCGGCGGTCACTCGGTCGGTATAGTTCGCTCGCGGACTACAGGCCACGGAGTTTGTTCTATTTTTAATCGAATCCGACGTTGTACATTGAAAGTGTCATTAAATGAATCATAAAATGAATACGTCTGTCTGCAAGAGACCGGATATTAGTATTTTAATTTTTTATCTGGTATCACAGCGACTAAAACGTTATTCATAATCTCGAAGGTAGCATTTGAGTCAGAATTGTTCGGTTTCTGGAATTTGTCCACTAAGTTTCGGAAACTGAAGCTGTTTCCATCCTCAGGAGAAGGGAGAGTCACCTGTTTGTTGTTCGATCCCTTACGACAGTCGACACAACCCCCCGTTTCAGCATACCAACACACGCCAATTGAACACTGCAGGTGACCCAGCACAGCATCTAACCTGAGTTTTAAATACAACATAAATTAATTCTTATCCTACTTGTACTTTCAATGTGTTTATATTTTCATTTTTAATTTATCTTTATGTTTATAATTATAACATTAGTTTTACACTAAATCTTAGACACGTGTATACATAAATAATGAGGCGTATTGGCTCTATGCAGGAACTGTTGAGCCAGGGAGGCCTCGGGACACGCGCGCAACGTCAGAGTTGCGGATTTTATCGGCGCGTTGCTAGGCGACAACTCTGTGACCGCGTGGATTGCGCAACAGGAAGTGCGAGTGACGTCACATATCCCACTCATCCAGTCATTACGCAACGCTCGGTAAACACCCCTCCCCGCAAGGCTGTGACGTCACGCAACAGTAGGGCGTCTATTGCTAGGCAATGCGTGGGTAGACACACCTGATAACAATACCTGATATCTGTTACCGAGCAGCAATGTGGTCCTTTCCAAGCCTATTTAAGGAGCAGCGAACACTTTTCCACTATTAGTCACCTCCACAGTGACCCTGCGAGTCGTAAGTGGCGACGAAAAGGGAAGTCTCAAATCTGAGAAAATAAAATATGGTCTCGAGTCCCAAGGGACTCAGACCCGAGAAAGACTGCACTGGCAAGGGCCAGCAGCATATACAAAAGGCAGACCCGTCCTCTCGTCAGAGAGGGCGCCCTACAAAAACAAGACCGTAAATGCCAAACAGTAATAAATATCTGGTCATGAGCCCCAGATGGGGCGCAACACCAAGACTTACTGACTGACTGACCGTCAGAAGCAATGTGACTTGGACTTGGACTTGGATTCCGCCAGTGCGGAGTATTGAGTTGCGAGTATTCAGATTGTGTTGAAGTCTAGCAGTTACGAGTTGTTGAGTTGCATCGAGTGAATGAAGGCTGGCAGTGACTATAGCAGAAGAAGTAACTGGGACAATGAAATTATGAAATGTGTAAGTGCGGGTACGAGTGTGTCAAATAAATTCGCTAGATCCAAGACCGGCGTGAAGTTACTTGTCGTGTCACACACGGCCATCACGTGACAATATATATATATATATACACACACACACACACACACACACACACACTAGCTGGCAACGCAGGCATCAGTTGCAAGAATACGGATCCATGTTACAACCAATATTTTAATCACTTGATTTATGACCATAAGTGCCTGATGATGACTGAATTATATGGTCGAAACATGTAAAAAATCATATTACTTGTGTCGACGATCGTAATATAAGCAATTAAATATTACATACACAACAGGATGCAGTTTAATTGCAGAATTTGTGAAACCATTTTGAGCACAAGGCTAGCTCCATCTGTGGAGTAAAAACTGAACACTCGGAGCTAAAACCTATATATACCTGTCACATCACACAGATCTCTGTGAGTTGATAATCTCAATGCTACTAAAGGGGGACCAGATAGGAGACATGTCCACACTGGGTAGGCTGATAGGATTGTTTAAGCATGCCATGTTGGCAGATTCCTTA